GAGCGTGACGGGCACTCAGAACCGAGTGTCCACACCTGCACACTGCAGGTCCCGGCCGGGCCGGAGTTGTCCCAAGTCCACACTGCACAGGTCCCCGCTCCCGTCACAGGCCGCCGCGTGGCCAGGCAGCTGAGGGCTTTCCGCGCCGTGGCCCCGTGTGCAGGAGTGCGGATGTGGGACACGGAGAACCTCGGGCACTGCCCAGCCACCGGGTGCCCGGGAAGAGCAGGCCCCTCCCATGAACGGGAGGAAGGACAGGGTCTGGTTAGCCCTGCAGTCCGCCCTGAGCTGTGGCCCCGTGGATGGAGGGTGCCACGCCCAGATAGCCTCGGGCCAGCTGTGCCCAGTGTGACCGCAGGAAGGCGACGCGCGTCTCATCTCTGCCACTCTAAGAACATGCGCACAGAGAGCGTTTCTGGGACTCGTGGTCCACATCTTGAGGAGATGTTGGCGTCCATGTCGTTGCCTGCACTGGCGCCCCATTTGGTTTTGGTGCATGATCTTCATCTTCCTTTATGGAAAGCATTTTAGACCGGTCAGAATTCCTGCTTATTAATCAATGAGAAAGAACCGCCCCCTCTTTTTCCCAGGTATTCTCGGCTTTCGTATGTGTACTTTATTGACTAAATATTTTTTCTGGTATTTTCAGGTAACATCAAAGGAGCAACTATAGTCGATGCCCTGGATACACTTTTTATTATGGGAATGAAAGATGAATTTCAGGAAGCAAAATCATGGATTGAAAAAAATTTAGACTTTAACGTGGTAAGCTAAATAAAAGTTGCTAATTGAATCCTTAAATCTTGGTTAACTTGAGTACATCTGTACTGTGTTATCATCACAGTGTATCCTGGCAGAAACAAGTAATATAATGTTGAATAATAAAGACATTCTCATCAGTGGGTGCCTGACGCCTGTAATCCCAGCACTCTGGGAGGCTGAGGCAGGAGGAAGGGAAGTTCAAGCCCAGCCTGAGCAATTTAATGACTTAACAAGACCCTGTCTCAAAATAAAGGGCTGGGATATAGCTAAGTCCACAGGCCCTTGGTTCAATTCCCAGGACTGCAAAAAAAAAAAACAACAACAAAAAAAACTATGATGTATTATTGTACCACATTCTTGCTCTTTCTTAGGATTTGTCAAGAGTGAGAGAAAAGAAATGAGTGTTTACTGAAACCCCACCTGCCCCGTTCCCCATGCGAGTCCCAGAACAGCCTGTGAGAGGCGCATTATGTCCTCTTCCCCAGCTCACGGCCGTTGTCGTGGGCGCTGTGGGTCCCACAGGGCTGCTTGTGCTTCCACCCTGGGCGTGGCACAGCCAGGCCGTGCTCCTGTCCGTGAGCACTGAACTCACAGTGGCCTGTTTACACTGAGGGTGCGTTCCTGAACACGCAGCAGCAGATGCTGTGCCCTCTGGGAAGCGTCCTGGGTAAGGGTGTGGCAGTCCCGGCCTCCCTGGACATGTGGATGGGTGGGACTGCCTTTTCAGGTCCACTTGTTTTATTTCAGGATGGTGAAGGAGCTGACTCTGAGGAAAGAAAGCCTGTTAGTCCCACTTTTATCTTGAGTAATTTGCTTATGGTTGCGTTGTAGGTATTATTTTCAGTCTGAGATTACTTTGCAGAAATCTCTGTAAGCCTCTTGTCTGTGGGTAAGTGTTTGATGATATGTGCAAATCCCCGTGGCCGGGTGTGAGCAAGGCTTCGGGTGTGGGAACTGTGTGGAGATGGGGCCTCCCCACCAGCCCCTCTGGTCTGTGCCTCGCTTTCATCCCCAGACCGAGAGGACACCTGGGTCACTCGGAGCATGAAGGTCAACACAGTGGACTCTCGTTCCTGTCTCCCTGGGCTCAAAGCACTTCTGATCCCAACATTGTACTGTTTTTGTTCCTACTCCTCTAATTGATTGTTGTGTGTATGTGGCATTTGGGAGACTGTGGACAGGCAGATAAATCCACATTTAATCTGCCTGATAATTAAAGCTAGACCATAAAAGAGGCAATATTCCAACAAAGGAGCTCAGTGCATCAGCCCTTTTATTTTAAATATGGGAAGCGGTACAGGAGGCGCTGAGGTGCCCAGACTGGCGGAGCTCCTTGGTTGCGTGACTTACTATAGATAAAGTGGGCAAAGCTAGAGCAATGGGAGAATTCCTTTCTCAAGTCTCCCTCTCCCTCTCTTTGTCAAGAAAAGGTAGGAGATTCCTCCAGAACCCAGCAAGGGGAGGCAGGAGAGCAGAGGCATAGCAGTGGCCCTGTGAGGGGTGTGAGCCCCTCACCTGACAGCGCCCCGCCCTTAGCTCAGCACCCCCACGTAGTGTGGAGTGGCGGCTTCCTGTGCTCTCCTGACGCTCTTCCCGGGCAGCTCTGGGCCAGGGTGGACCTGTGCAGGGGAGGGGCTGCTTTATTTGAATGACCAAGCTACAAGCCTTCAAGTTAGGAGACAAGATGTCAGCCTGACAGAGGGCTGCGAATGCTCTGGGGTCAGGGGACCCGACCAGGCAGAGCAGCTCTGACAGGAGCTGTGAGGTGTGTGGAGAAAGTCACTCCACCTCCTCGGGAAATGAAGGGATTGGGCTCCCACTGGGTGACTGCTAAGGTGCTGACCAACCTTTGAAGTTTTCTTGCTCTAAAACTACTTGTTTTTATAAGATTTCATCCAATTCATCGACAGACTTAGTATAAGTACACTTTGGGACTATGAGTTGTAATCGAGGGGCGCCATGAAGGTGATCATTATATGTTACAAACGTACTTTTAAAAATAAAAACTGAAGAGAAAGTACTTTTGAAAATGTACTGCTAAAAATGAGAGCCACAGATCTCAAATGTCTGTTTATTGTACAGTTCTTAATGTGAGAGGTCTTGGTGCCTACTTGGAGTGGCTTTCTTTTACTGTTACCATATCTTCCTTTAAAAAGTGTTATCAGTAGTATCCAGGTGATAGTGCTTCCTGTTTTAAATCCATGTCTAACTTCAGAAAAGGCGTGTTGATTTGCTCTTCCAGAACCTTATGCTATGAAGTTCTTCAGCTTAATGTTTTCTGGCCGATTTTAATATGTCGTGTGAGAATTAGTCTTGTATCCAATCTACCCAGAGACGAAATGATTGTTTCGAATGATTTTTGGCTTCCAGTTATTTGAGATTTTTCCCCCCGTTGGTCTGAAGGCAGGAGAAATTGGAGAAAACCTTAGCAAGAAGAAACAGCGTCCCAGCTTGGTTGCTTGTTTTTAACAACCTTTTTCCTGTTAAGTATTTTAGTTGACAGTGCAAGGATGAAGTTTTTAAAAAGAGGCAACGCAGGCCAGGGATTTAGCTCAGCAGTTCCGCCACCTGCCTTGCAGGTGCATGGACCCGAGTTCTATCCCTGGTACCGAAAGGGGGGCGGGGTAACGCATCCAAAGTCATCGCAAGAGAGGACTGAAAGTGAACGGGGAGCAGAAGCAGCGCAGACCACTGTCGCTGAGTCTTTCCCCACCGCTGCTCCTTTTACAAACTCACCTTACTGTCTGAGCAGCTTTGTAGGCGCAGCGCGCTCACTGCGTCCCTCAGAGGTGTAAGTGGTCGTCTTCGGTCCGCACCGTCACAGCCAAACTCTCTGCTTTTCATTCGTCTCGCATACGTATCGGCACAAATGGCTTTAACAACTGGCGGAAAATAAGCTCCTGGATAGCAGGATCGGGCAGGAGCAAGGCCTTCATGGCCAGAGCTTTGTGACCAGCTAGGTTTCAGTAGAGGGTGGGGGTATGAGGGAACCCCAGGACAGACCCCTGGAGGGTTTCGGGGTTTGTTAGTCCACATGCGCAGTACGCACTGCTTGCGTTCCTGTGTGGAGTTGGTGCAGGTGCTGACTAGTCTTCGTTCCCTTTCATCCCCTACCCTCCCCTCGGGCCCCTCGGTCTCCTGACCCCCTTTCTCTTTGAGAAAGATCTCCATATTTCTTATTATCTCGCTTTCATTTTGCTCTTCATTTATACTGTGGGTTTCTCATGTATGAGAAACCATGATTTATTTGACTTAACTCTTTAGTCTTCGTAAAAGAGTCAAAGGTGTCACATTGCCCTGGGCGGTGCTCACCCATATTTATAGCAGCACAATACATAATAGCTACATTTTAGAAGTGGCCTACATGTCCATCAACAGGTGAATAGATAAAGAAAGTGATATTTACACACAGTGGAGAGCTACCCTACCCCAAAGGGAGGTACTGTAAATGAGTCATTTGTAGGAAAATGGATATACCTTTGAATTTTAATGCAAAGTAATCCTAGGAGGAAAAAAAGTGTAAGACCACTGCTTGTTTCTTCATTACTCATTCAGTCCTCCAGCCTTTACCAGAATCCTTCAAAGGACCCATCAGTTACCGTTAGGGGCCTCTGGTCTAGTATGGATGTCCCTGCTAGAGCTGGGCCGCCCTCACAAGGCCCAGGAGGAGGAGGAGGTACGGGTCCGAGCCAGTCCACGCAGCATGCTGGCGGGTGTCTTCCAAGGTTTCCTGACTTCATCTCTGTGACAGCAGCCTAGGCTAAGTGGCATCTTCTCTGTTTTTTTATAGACGTGATTAATTGTTCTGCCTAAAACTATGCAGAGTGACCTGTGTTTTGAACAGGGTGTGCCTAGGTGAGCCTGTTTCGTTGGGAGAGAAGTGGGGTGAGTGGAGACATAGGCAGGCAGCCCGAGAATTTGAGTCTTCTGAGGTCAGTCGTGTGACTTAGTGTCCCAGAACTCGCCCCACAGGCACGCAGCAGGTGTCATGAAGTGAGTAGGAAGCCAGCTGTCTTGGCCCGCTTGCGCACCACCACGTGAGGTAGATTCAGCAGGGAGGTGAGTGGACAGCACGAGGCACTGCGTCTGTCAGAACTTTACAGTCAAAAATGACCTGCAGCTCAGGTGCGTTTGACTTCTGTTTGACCTCATCCACTTCAGAGACAGACAGATCGGTGACTGAGGCAGTTCCTGCCTGGGCAGGTTGTTAACATGAAGATAAAGGGCTGGGGTTTCCAGCAGAGCCTTTCTCAGTCTAGTTGGGGCTTCCTGTTCTCTGCCCCTTAGAAAAAACTGACTGGGTGCTCGCTGAGGTAACAAGTTTTAGAGAATGTGAAGACATTTCCCCAGGTAGCAGTTGCTTACATGAATCCTCTGTAAATGTGAGAACTACCCTTAAAATGCCTCCTTCTACATGAAGTGAGCAGCAGGGTAAAGGAGGGAGGGTGACCTTCTCACTGTGAACTGTGGCCCGCTCCTGGGTCATGCCTCTGATTGTCGTGGACACCAAGAGTTTTGGATAATAGAGGTGCTGCTAGCAGAGGGTTTCTTTTTCATTTATTTTTTAAGATGTGTTTGCTTGTCAAATTGGAATTCCATCCTACTTTTCATGGAAAGAAGCTAAGTAAGCCTTAGAGGTCCCTGTCTGAAAGCTGTAAGCAACTCCGAGTACTTGGCCCCTCCAAGCCCTGTGCCAAGGGCCTGAGAGAAGGCGTTTATCTTTGCTCTTGGGAAAGGTCTGTTTTGAAACAGGGTCCATCCCAGCAGTGCTGATAACAGTGTAATTACGCTGTTGGGGTTGGTCAGTACTTCCCATGTAATTCCAAGACTGCCTGCCAGAGTGGGTTTTGGGTTCAAGGGGAGCTGTTGTGTCTGACAGTTCAGTGATAGACGGGGCTTCTCTCAGACAGCTTTCCCGTTGCTGAAATAAAGTATTTATTGTTCCCAACCCCAATGCTATAGAGGACAGGGTGTTTAGTTCAGTTTCAGTCCATGGCCAGCTG